TCTCCAGTGTATGTGCATTTTTTTATGATGTCTGTACATAATGGCAGTTCTGAAATAAAGAAAATTTTAAAGTATTTGTTAGTGGTCTGTACTCATAATGCAGTCTTTTGAAGTATTTATGTTAGTAGGGAGAAAAGGATGGTGGTGTTAATATCTCTATCCTGTAAGAATGTCTGTTCTAAAATTATTATAGTGCCTCTCTATAAAACAACTCTTGCCACGAATTCCTAGGTTTTGGTAAACAACTAGTCTAGTTCCTCCAAGTGGGTAACACATTAATACCACTGTAAGTCCATTTCAGTCCTTGGCAGTTGAGTTTGTGCATGCATGCACATACGTGTGTGTGTGTGTGTGTGTGTGTGTTGTGCGCGTTACTGGGGATTTGATGCAGGGCCTTTGTATTAAGTACATTGCCTGTTTTTTATATTTTTAAATTTTGAGATAGGGTCTCACTTAGTTGCCCAGAATGGGCTTGAACTTTCAATCCTCCTGCCCCACTGGGATTACTCTTTTTGCCGCTGCTTCTACATAAGGAGATGCATCTAAATGACCATCAGAAGAACATGTTTGGGGGCCCCAAAAAAAACTCTGATGAGTTGGCATATGCCGTTTAAAATGTACTAGTTTTTGTTTCTTGATGGACGATTTGGAAAAAGATTTTCCTTTTCATGAAGTTTAGGACTATAGAAAAAATTTATGATCTTGGCCTCATCAGCAAATCAGTTACAAATCTAGGCCATATCCATCAGAGAATTATAAAATTTGAAAATTTAAATTAGGCTTTAAAATGTACTATGAACTTCCCTTATTAGACCTCCGTAAGGAATAAGTATGTTTAAAGAATAATTTCATTTGGTCTCCAAAGTGAGCATAATAAGTATCACTACTTACTTACTGGATGAAGAATCTAAGGCCGTGGGTCCACAGATTTCAGTTCACATTTCCTAGTTCCAAATTACCAGCTTTTGAGTAGTAGGGAAGTCTCAGAGAGATTTGCAATGTACTTGAACTATCCACAACATGGATAATCATATATGGATGATGCAGAATTGGTTGTACTTCACTAATGGAGGACCTCAAAATTGCTGAGTTCTGTGTACAGCATTGTCTTCATTAGGAATTCTATGATGTTAAATAGTAACTACTAGAGGAGGTTAAGTTCATTCTAAACTCATACTGTGATCCAGAAAAAACACAATTCGTGTTCATACACATTTGGAAATTACTTTGACAGGAAGCAATTGGGAAAAGTTAATTTTGTCCTAGACATACACAGATAAGGAAAGTAGAGAAAGATATCCATCCCTAGTGTTCCAGAGATGGGTGATTCTAATCCAATGATTAAATATAACGTTGTGAGATTGTTTAGCTATTGTTTTATTAAGTCCTAATAGAAAATACTGTTTAAAAAATTCTGAGCTGGAGATTTAGCTCTGTGGTTCTGGCACCTGCTTTGTAAGTGCAAGGTCCTGAGTTTGATCCCCGATACAAAAAAAAAAAAAAAAAAAAAAAAAAGTTGAGATAGGATTTTTTTTTCTTTTGGTATTGGGGATCTAACTTGGGACCTTGCACTTACGAAGCAGGCGGCAGAACCACTGAGCTAAATCCCCAGCCCTACTTTTTTAACATTGATTGAGAACCTCTCTACTGTAATGAATTAGGTATTGGAAATAGAGGTATAAACTCACTTTGGCCTTTATACTGTCTGTAAAACAAGTCCAGTGGGAAGAACCAGAAAATAACATTACCTATAAATACTAGGTTAATGCATAAATGCACAAAACTTATGGTGCTTCAAAGAAAGGTGAGCTGTCTTAGCCTAGCTCTCTTAGGCTGAGCCTAGCTCAGCTCATAGGCCATAGGGTATAACAGAAAAGTAAATTTTGTACCTTCTGTAATTACAATATGCATTCTTCAAAGAGAACTTTGATTTTCTGTAAAATATTAAAACGTCTCAAATATACTTATTAGGAAAAGCATGTTTTTGTGGTGTGTAATTTGCTTTACCTTATTCTGCTATACATTTATCTTAAAAGCTCAGCCCTTTGTTGCTTTTGCTACCTTGTGGCTGCCATAAAGTGTTCTCTGTGATGCCCCTCTGCCATGCCACCCTGCCTTGGAGCCAGCCAATTATGGACTGAAACCTCTACAAACTGTGAGCTAAAATAAACCTTTCCCCCTTAAAAAAACAACAACAACAACAACAACAGTTTTTAGTAATAAATTTAACATTTTAGTTCTGCAAGTAAGGTAAGATCTTATGTGAAGTGTTTTTCAAAGAACTGGCACTGCAACTTGTATTTTGTGCCTGACATTAGATAAAAGCAAAGGAGTAAAAGCATTTTATTCATTTTCTCAGGCCACATGCAAGTAACCATGTCTTCAGCAATGATACAGTTTGAGGAGACCCCACCCTTAAGCATATAACTAAAAAGCAACACATAAAAAGTGAATGTTATAGTCAAAAAGGATATTTGGTAATTTCTCCAGGAGATGGCACTGTTGAGCTAACTTCCTACAGTAAAACAATAGACCATTCATCTTTGTGTCACCCAAACAAAGAAATATTCCTTTATATTCCTTTTTTCCCCCCAGCTAGTCACATGCTACTGTAACTGACTGTCTTGTGATTGACTCTACAGTTGGAATAAATTTTTAAAAGCAAATCTATATTTTAAAATATAACCTGACCTAGTGATTACAGAGTAACATGTTGCTCACCAGTTTTCATCAGCTTTGTCTTGTCAGTCCAGAACTTCAAAGAACTATTCTGGAAATTTTACTATCCTGCCCAGAACTTTTCACTTCTCCCACTTTACTATCATTGATTTGGGGGGGAAATATAAATTTGTGAATCTTTTTGTTTACAAGTTAATGTCAGTATTTTGATGTAAAGATCAGCTTAGGTACACTGCACTATTTTAATCTACAGTGAATATATTCTCTTTTGGGTTTAATAGTTTATAGTTAAAGGTAATATTCAATTGCTGAAGTAACATTTTGCATATTTTGTCTTTTTTTGGTGGTGGTGGTGGTGGTAGTGGTACTAGAAGAAATTGAACTCAAGACATGTTACACAAGTGCTACTCCACTGAACTATAACTATATCCCCAACCCTTTAAATTTTTTTTGAGACAGTTAAGTTGCCCAGATTATCCTCAAACTTTTGATCCTTCTGTCCCAGCCTCCCTCAGTGGCAGAGTTTAGGAATGTGTCACAAGCCCAGCTATTGGTTACATTTTCTACTGAACAACCTCGACCAATGGGAAATGATGGAGTTAGTGAAGTTAAGGATTCAGAACTGGTTTACCTGTATTGCATGTTCTAGTTGTGTGCGGAAGCTTCTGCAGTAAGGGGAACGGTGTAGTAGGGACCATTTATTTATTGGAGGCAAGGTGCTAATTTAGAAGACATATACTGGAACCAAATTTGTGCAAAGCACTCCGTGCAGGGTTGAGGCACTTTGGTAAAGATAAACGTGCATCTATAAAATGATCACTTATAAATTAGTCATTGACCAGTTCTCTTGCTCGCTTTACCTGCCCCTAATGCCCAAGCTACATTTGAATTCCAGAAAACCAGAAAGTTAATTCCTCCTCTGGCTTATCTCCCTGCAGAAGAGGGCAAACGTGGTGGACAGACTTTTCCTCAGGGTTGTATGAGTCACGGGCGTCCTGGTGTCTATCTGCCTCCGTAGGATCTGCCCCACACCAGTTCGCATTCACCTTCTTGGCAGCCAGAGACGGCTGCTTCAGCAGACAATGGATAACCCGCTCCGGTAAGCCGGGTTTAAAAACCTGAAGCACCAGTTTTAGGTTCATGAGGAAGCCCCCTTTTCCAGCTGAGCGAGTTCACGGAATTCCCTGAGGAGATTTTCCGGCGCTGTCTCAATTAGGAATTTTAGGAGTGTTGGGGGAGGGGGGTTTGAGGGTGCCAGAAAGAGCAGCCAGGGGGTCCTGAAGCCTCGGAGCTAGGGAAGGTGGCTCCTCGCGGGAAGGTGGGGAAAGCCCCTCAGACAACTCTGGAAGTCTGGCCCCTGAGACGCGGCGTGAGGGTGGGGAATGACCTCAGCAGTCTCGGCCACGTTCCAGCCAATCAGTCCCGCGTCTTGGCATCCGAATCCAAGACCCCCGAAGCAGGAGGCGACGCGAACCAATGGGAAGTGGGCCGGGGAAGAAGGACAGGCGACCGGCCAATAGGGCGGAGAGGCCCGGCTGCGCGTA